TGAGTAACCAGGATAGGATATTAATATTGAGTAACCAGGATAGGATATTAATATTGAGTAACCAGGATAGGATATTTATACTGAGTAACCAGGATAGGATATTGATATTGAGTAACCAGGATAGAATAGTAATATCGAGTAACCAGGATAGGATATTAATATTGAGTAACCAGGATAGGATATTTATATCGAGTAAACAGGATAGAATAGTAATATCGAGTAACCAGGATAGGATATTAATACCCGAGTCTAGTAATTGTATTATAAATTATTTGTTTGTTTTGTTGTTTAGCACAAAGCTGCACAATGGGCTATTTGTGCCGCGCCCACCACGAGTATCGATGTCCGATATCTAGTGGTATACATAGTGCTACTGTACTTGTAAATAACAAACAGCATTTATAAGCACTAGTCGCTACTTTCATAAAACGTAGTCACTATGTTTATAAACTTTATAAACTCCACTAATACAACCCTAGTGACTGTATATATAAACTCCTTGTGACTATATTTATAAAACTTAGTAATTATTTTTATAAATTCCAGTCACTATACCTATAAACCACAGTACTTATAATACACTATTTACTGTATTTAAAGGTCTTACTCGCTGTATTGTTAAACCTTAATCGTGTGTAATTACGTTTCACACGTACACGTATTCTAAACCTTTACTTGTGTTAAAAGTAAACATTAGCAGACAACTAGCACATATTCCCTAAGTTTAAGTGGCTGCTAATCTCTTTTGTTTTGTTTTCTTAATCACACTTTATTGATAAATAATTAGATTTTTGGAATACTTTATCCTCAAATAAATTATGTTTTTGTTCTAGAATATTCTCTCAAAGACTTATCTACAAAAAGCTGACAGACCGGCAGCTAGTCCACAGCATACATCGCCAAATCTTGAGCTACTCTTGTCTGGGGGTAGGTAGGTTTCACTGGCAGTTATTTAGATTTAAAGATAATTATTTCCGAAGAAATAATTATTAATCTGGGGGGTGCTCGAAGATTAAACAATCCTCCTTCACCCCGCTCGTGGTCTAGAAATATGGGCTTAACATGAGAAATGGGAATTTAATGCGGACTAGATATGTAATATTAAAAAGATCTAGAGAAGTAATTGTAGACAATAAAAAGTGAAGAGTAAACTAAAACTAAAACTAAACGGCTGATATCAAATAGGGAGATTTTATCTTGAATTTTATAGCTCACCCACGGTACCTAAAGTGCGGACCGTGATCCTGTGGCAACGGGTCGCGAACCACGATCCTCCAGATACAGCCAGCTACCACTAAGCCATAACCACTTCAGTCAGTTAATATCAATCAGTAATTAATTCCATAATGTATGCCAAAATCAAATAAGTGATGATAAATAATGTAAAATAAATCATTTTTAGGTAAAAAAATATTACATCATTTACTACAGTAATCGACAAAGCAAGATAAACCTGTATAAAAGCCCAATAATAAAGATATCCGTTAACCAGGATTCGAACCCAGGTAAATCCTACAGATATTTCGGGTAGGTTAAGACCTCTACACCGTTGATGTGAGCAACGACTCGTTAAGCCTATTTGTACTCCTAAGTGTTACAGCTCGGGTGGTTAAAATGACACTTGAGGCACTATCGTACCGAAGTGTTCCACAGCACTTTTTACTCTTTACGATGGCTTTAAACCCTTTACGAAATTTCTTGTTTAAGAAAGCATAAAGAACTGGATTGATACAGCTATTGGAAGAGCCCAACCACTGTGCAATAGGAGCAGCAATGATGAGGACGTTCTCCTCCAGACTGTTTGGCTCGATGTCTCCTCCGACCTTTATCCTGGTGAATATTATGTAGAGAGGTAACCACGACATTACAAAAATGATTACTACAATCAGCATCATCTTCACCACTTTCAGCTTGGAGCGCTGGATAACGCTGCTAACTCGAGCGTTTCCATCGGTTTCGCCCGGAATGTGTCTCCTCCAAACTTTTATCCAGATTCCCACGTAGCAGGCCGTGATCAGACAGAGTGGAAGAAGATAACAGAGCACCAGGTTGGCCAAGATGAAGTAGAGTAGCTCCGAGGACGAGTGAGGCCACATCTCCACACACAGCTCCACCTCGGGAAGATCGGGAGCAAGAGGAGTGAGAGAAAAGTGTACAGCCCAAGGCAGAGATATCAAGAATGAAAAGCTCCAGATGAAGAGAACCATCTTCCTGGCAATTCTGGTAGTTATCTGGCCTTTCATTGGATAACAGATGGCGAGATACCTAGAGAACCAGAGTAAAATTTAATACAAGATATTGGCCGCATATTCGGGTGATTTTATCATTGATAATATGAAGAAAAACTTTCATATTCCTTGTAAATCATTCGAAGCGCCCCCTAACGGTAGCTTATTTCTAAACTGCCTATCAAACTTTCGGTTTTGAGAAAAGTGCTTTAACTAAGTACATGATTTTTAGAGAATAAATCAGGAGTATTAATAGCTCTATATGTTCTAGCTAATAATAGTGTTTACACGTTAATCATGTATGTTCTAGCTAATAATAGTGTTTACACGTTAATCATGTTTGTTCTAGCTAATAACACTGTTTACACGTTAATCATGTATGTTCTAGCTAATAATAGTGTTTACACGTTAATAATGTCTGTTCTAGCTAATAATAGTGTTTACACGTTAATAATGTCTGTTCTAGCTAATAATAGTGTTTACACGTTAATCATGTATGTTCTAGCTAATAATACTGTTTACACGTTAATAATGTCTGTTCTAGCTAATAATAGTGTTTACACGTTAATCATGTATGTTCTAGCTAATAATAGTGTTTACACGTTAATCATGTTTGTTCTAACTAATGATACTGTTTACATGTTAATCGTTTTTGTTCTAGCTAATGATACTGTTTACATGATATTCATGTTTGTTCTAGGTAATGATACTCTTTACATGGTATTCATGTTTGTTCTAGATAATGATACTGTTTACATGGTATTCATGTTTATTCTAGATAATGATACTGTTTACATGGTATGCATGTTTATTCTAGATAATGATACTGTTTACATGGTATTCATGTTAATTCTAGATAATGATACTGTTTACATGAAATGAAAGAAAAAGGCTGAATTAGTGGCGGTGATAAGACTAATCAAAAAGTAGTTTCTTACAGTAGTTAACTGTTTATACAAATACCCTACCCCCACCCCCGACGATACATTTGAGGGCTTTTCACGCCAAAATTCGGGTAGATTGCCTATTGTTTAGCTTTGTGTTGAACAACAAACAAACAAATAACAATTTCAGGTTGAATAATCCTGTGTAAATAAACATCGATTTGACTAAAATATCTCTAAATCTGCACATAACAATTCCTAATACGTTATCCTGTTTGCAATTATAAACTTAGCATAAATTTGGAGTTTATTAAAAGTAAAAAGTATATAAGTACACCACGTTTCATCAGGTCAATCTGCTGAAACGTCACGTGATTATATACTTATTTAATAGATTGTTAGGCACAGTATTCATGATGAAAGTTTCTAGAACGAAAGGCAACTGCCTCTTCAGATCCATTCTACAATGTTTCATCAGTTATATACTTTTTAATTCCAATAAATTTGAAGTTGATGCAATCCGATTTAATTTAATATTTTCTCAAGTTACTTCACCATATCTATCCTGCAGATATTATAGGATCTAAAGAAGATATGATGAAATAGGATATTATAAGATCTAAAGAATATATGATGAAAGAATATATTATAAGATCTAAAGAAAACATGATGAAATACGATATTATAGGATCTAAAGAAGACATGATGAAATACGATATTATAAGATCTAAAGAATATATGATGAAATAATATATTATAAGATCTAAAGAAAACATGATGAAATACGATATTATATGATCTAAAGAAAACATGATGAAATACGATATTATAAGATCTAAAAAATAT